CCTCCCTTTTATTCGATACCTCAGAGTACACGATATCTGTTAAAAATGAAATTAATGGATGAAAAAAAAAAAAAAATGTGAGGCAGCGTGGTGGAATCAGGCTCTCGTCAAAATAATTAAAGTAAACTAACTTGCATTTTTCTGCATGTTTGTGGATTTTTATCAAATTTTAGATTTTTGGCTCTACACCTTTCATGCCCATTAAAGAACTCATTTCTGTGTGGGTTTTTCTGAAAAACGTTGGTTAAAGGCACAAAAAATGTAAATTTTTAGTTACCACGGACTCTTAAGCTGGGGAAATAACTAATCTTTGGCGGCCATTTTCTCACTAATTTTACCTCTGAAAACAGGCGACCCCCACCTCCTTCATTTACAAATATCTCGACTTGTATTCAAGATAAATGGATATTTTTTCAACCAAATAAGGACAAGTAAACAAGCTTTCAGGTGATACCAATAACTCCACATGCCCAAAAATTGACGAGAGCCTGATTTCACCACGCTGCCTCACATATGCTTAACATGATAACCAGACGTATCACAACGCGATGGGATCAGGAGCTTGTCAATTTTTGGACGTTTTAAAATTTGGATGTATTGACATAATCTCAAAGACTTTTGGTGAAACAAATAATATTCATCTACCTTGAATAGAAGTTAAGATAATTTGCGAATGAAGGAGGAGAGTGTCATCTGGTGCCAGCGGTGAAATTAGCGAGAAAATGGCCTCCAAAGTCTGGTGACTTCCAAAGTTTGAGGTTAAGGTGTTGGCATCTTATTCAAAGGTCCCGGGTTTGAATCTGGGTAGCAACCGAGCAATTTTCTTCTCTACATTTGTCCCCTTTCACCTACTTTCCTGTTTTCTAGCAATGTTCTGTCGTCCTCTTTCGTCTCCTCTTTCTGCCCCCACCCCCTCACCTCCTTTGCCCCCCTCCTCTGGGCTCCTGACTATTTCTGCAGCGTTTCTACTGCTACTCCTTGGCTCCTTCTTACTGCTGTCTTTCAGCCACACCCCTGATCTTCTGGTAGGAAAGATCTACACCTAGCCTTCTCGAACAAGGGCGAAAAATCTCGGAGGGCCCTTGTGCAAGTTGCGCACGTTACAGATTCCTTGGTGGTCTAAAATCGATAAGAGTAGGCTTCGGCCGCCACGCAGGCAAAATTCAAAATTTCCTACCAATTGAAAAAGTTTAATGTGTCCCGCGTGCTCATATGACCTTATTATGCAGTGGCGGGCAAAGGAAAAGAATTACCACAACAACAAATAATAATAATTGAGTGTCCTGCCTTGGAAACTACAAATGTACGTCTTGTGTGTGTGTGTGTGTGTGTGTGTGTGTGTGTGTGTGTGTGTGTGTGTGTGTGTGTGTGTGTGTGTGTCTTTCATTAACAACGACAACGTGTTCCTGTAAAATCAACACAGAAAAGCGTTTTTAAATTGGCATAAAAGATGTTGAGCCTAAAGCAAACATTTCGAAAAAAAATTCCTAATTGGCGGAAGAATATCGGTTTCTTCGATTTCATTATTTTTCCGTGCTCCTGATTCCACCAGGATGCCCAAACACACGTGTGCACAGGGCTTTAGCGATGTGTCGCTTTCACACACATGTGTGTACATGTCTTTAGTGGTGTGCCGCATTCATACACATATTATGTGTATAAACGTCTTGAGCGGTGTGTCCCATTCACATGTGTGTGTGTGTGTGTGTGTGTGTTCGTGTGTGTATGTGTGTGTGTGTGTGTGTTTGTGTGTGTGTGTGTGTTTGTGTGTGTGTGTGT